CACTCAGGGAGGGGTGGGAGACGGACTAGTAATACGCATGGAGGGGTGGGAGGTGGTTGTAGTAGCAACTGCTCTTATTGATGGAGTTTTTACCGGATCATACAAGCAGTTTATTAGATTTCGTAAAAAAGGCTGTGGTTATTCATCGTGGTGAATAACAATAAAAGCTAACTTTTCGTTTTGTCTCACGATGTAGTCACGTGTGATGTAGATCGCGACGTTTCGACTGCATACTGCAGTCTAATTTATTAGATTTTTTTTAATATCAAGATTTGTACGCTGGGCTTTCCCGTTTCTTTGGTTTTTGTCATGCAAATGCTAAACAGCATCTAATGGACTATAATTGTCAGTGAAAATATCGCCAATTCCTTTTTTTTGATCCTCCTTTGTTGAGTCACACACGTGCCTTTTAAGTAGACTTGTTCTAGTTCTAAATGATACTTACTGATTAACACGAATTATCCGCCACTTGCTTCACGTTTCCCTTTGGATATAAAGTATATACAATTTTTCTATCTTCCTTTGTCATTAATCCTATCAGACGAACAAGATCCGTCGGTTAAAAAAAGATGAAACGTACGGACCACGTGCAAAGGTGTAAACTGTTTCTCGAATATTGCGCATCTTAAATATTCAATAGTGACATCTCATTTACATCTTCATCAACATTTATTTAGCTGGTAAATTCTCTATAGTCATCCCACCAGCCAACTCGCGCGCGAAGTGAGAAGACTATATGAAGGCTTTAAATTATATTAAAAACGATTGTGGTCAAGAAACGGGCAAGGAATATTCCACAACAGTGTGAATAATCTTGAAAGATGATCGTGGAAAAGCGATTGCGTGACGCTCGGTAAGTTGTAAGATGACATCTTATCGCGTATCAAACGAGAAAAACAGTATAAATTCTCTGTCTGCATTTTGTACCCAGTCTGCAGTCTGCATTTTGTACCTAGTCTGCATTTTGTACCCGGTCTGCAGTCTGCAGTTTACTGACCGGATTAGTATTGCTGTTTTTGTTCGAGCGAGACTCAAGTCCGGACCGAAATATTGGAGTTCGAAAAAAATAAAAGAAACTATCTTGGCCACTATGATTGATGTGTGGACTGTATGTTGAAGAGCTCCTGAGGACAAGCACAATGATTGAACAATGGTCACTTTAAACCAAGTGAAAACCAACGCAAATGCGCGGCTTACCAATATTGCTGCCCCCGATGCTATTTTGCGTGGTCACAGCGTGTGTTAAAATGAACCCACTAGGGTCCTCTGGGTGTGAACATTTCGGCTTCTCGATTCAAGTTGCATTTTTAGAAGTTCGGAAATGTGATTTGAGGTTATCATTTTTATTAAATCATAAAAAAAGTTTTATTTCTTTCCATCACTGTTATTCATAGGATATGGGTAAGTTTTATTGATTTTACGCGAAAAATGTTCCTATTTCGAAATATTTATCTTTGTAAATCGACCATATTTCGTTCCCCATACTAATCCTCATAACGTGTTCAAATTTTCAACGGTTCCTCTTGCAACTTAACACCGAGTCACACAACGCGTGACGCGTTCATGAATTAATCGTTGGCTTTTTCTCGAGACGTGAGCTTGGGCTGCCTGTGCACGCACGCACTGTTTGCAAATCCAAGTGAGATTATAACCATGCGGTTTTGAGCAATGGTTCAGAGTTGCTCCATAAGATCGCTGTATCCATAGGCGGCCCAAGCTCACGTCTCGAGAAAAAGCCAACGATTAATTCATAAACGCGTCACGCGTTGTGTGACTCGGTGTTACGAGAGGAACCGTTGAAAATTGGAACACGTTATAAGGAATAGTATAGGGAACGAAATATGGTCGATTTACAACGATAAATATTTCGTAATATGAATATTTTACATGTAAAATCAATGACACTTACTCACATCCTGTGTGTTTGTTGTAGTTTCTGGCGATTTCTGCCGTTTTAAGCTTGCTTTACTATCACTGTTATTCCTGTCATTGGCTTCTTCTCGAGACGTGAGCTTGGGCCGCATGTGCTGTATCACGTATTCCGACTTTTTCAATCTCTGGTCTCTGCCAGTTGTCAAATTGTCACAATAGATGTATCTCTTATTTCTATACTATTGTTGGAGAACCAAATCGATCTAACAATAAGTCATTGAATGTCAGCATAAGGTCTTGTATCAGAGGAAATTCGATCGATTTAGTTTTTGAACTGGAATGTTTTTCGAGCTTTTCAGGTTAACTGATTAAAGGCGAAGCAATTCACTTTCCAATTTGTGGTTTTTCCGGTTTTGAGCAAGAAAAGTCGAAAAAAAAAGAAGAAAACAAAAAGGCATTTCTTATCTTTAAACCTAATTTGCGTCTAGTGCAAAACATGAAGCGATATCGCCATTTTCGGCGACATTAGGAGTAAAAATCTGGCGGTAAAAAATATCGCCATGAGTTACGAACTCCATCACTGAATAGTGCGAACCATTACACAGACTGGATTCCTTACACAAGAACACTTAACGCCACTTTCTTCTAAACAGACAAATTACCCGTAACAGTAATGAGTACGCTTAAGTTTAGTTTCGCTTCTCTGACAGCCAATACACAAGAGGTTCCTCACATCGCTTGTACTTTGCACTTTTTTCCATTACAGAGAAGCCTGCTGTAATATCATTGTTTTTATAAATCATCCTACGCTTAAAAGCGTAATGCGGATAAGGCCGAGATGAATGACTTACCAAGTTGATTCTCTCAGCTTCGAAAGACTCTACTCTTTTCTGCTGTCCCGGCATCTTAAACCATTCCAGTAACATTATTTTACTCCACTTTTCCCCTTCTCACAAAGGATGGCAACATATTCGATTATAGAGCACCTTGCTGCAGGGTCTTGATCGAGATGAACTACGGTCTCGTTGATCGATCGTGTCGCTCTCAACCTCGGGTACAGGGTCATTTTGGCTCCTTGACAGCGGTATGGTCGCCAAATAATGACCTTTGGGAGAATAGATTAAGTACCTTCCCCCGATAGAGTTTCATTTAAAATGAAATTATTTACCAATATGAAGAGAGTTACATTCTGTTTTAAATGCTAAATTAACCCTTCAATTCCCATGAGTTACCAAGACAGAATTTCTCCTTACAATATCAGTACAATGTCAATCAGACAAGTGATTTGCCCCCCCCCCCCCCCCCCCCCCCCCCCCCCATCAATTGAACAGCTTTGGCCCCGAAAAAAATACGCAGCGTGCATTCTACGGAGGCGCTACATTTCTGTCATCAGTGTCGAGAATTACATCAACGTTTGCGGTCGGTAGGTGTCTATGCGGTTACTTAAACATGTTGATTATAAGTTAAAGGTTCACCTAATAGTTAATACTGCATCTATGCTCGAATTTCAATCACGAAAACACAAGAAATTTGGCATCGAAATCACTTGGCGCGATCTTATCATGGAGGCTGAAGTCTTCCATCGATCGGCTGAGCTTTCTATAGTTACGGGATCCAATCTCGACCCCAAAAAGTCCTGTTATGTGCTAAAGAAAAGTTAATGTGAAATCAGGCCGAAAACTTTTGCAAAGAACGAATTATTTCGTCGATTCCGCAATGACTACAATACGTTCTGTCCCGCCAGCAGGTCTCAAGCGCGCCAACAAAGGC